GCTTTCTCCTGAAATGCATTGGTAATAAAACATTTTAATGAAAAGCAAAAGCATGTAAGTAGTGAAAACTGATCACTGGTAATACATAACAGGATCTTACACATTAAGCAGGAGGTTCAAAATGTCCTGTTGGTTAGCAGGAGTAGTAGGGAATAGGAGAATTTAAATTTTGTATGAGGTCAAATTTATGTATCTGTATCACAGAAGTATTTTCTAGATCCATCTGACTTGTAATAAGAGGTACATGATGACAGCAAGCCAAAAGCAAATCCTTGCCTGCTTCAGGTTTAAGTTTTGATATTTTGTAATTGCCTCCCAAGGACAAAATGACCCTGCAGTCCTGGGAAATTTTGATTGCAGGATCACATCTAGCAGATGACCTTGTAAAAATGGGGTCAAACCTCGTGAAAAAATGACCCTGTGAAAGCAGTAACAATTATAATGACTAAAGGTTTACAGATTTCATACTTAGATTCATATATTGTAATAAATAATGCTATTCTTGTGACAGCATATAGGGAGAATTTGTGCTCAATAAAACAGTGGAGGAATTTTGAATAACAACTTATTTTAAATGTCAATTTCTTGAAAAATGGATGTGGCAATTCTGCATCACAAACAGGTGAATATATTTCTTTTCAAATACTATGCCATGTAATTCAGCTGAGGTTCTGCATTATCCTCAACATTTTAATTGTTATTATTTAATCTGAATGGGATCATCCTCACTATTTAATTTTAAGTCTTTATTAGGAAGTTGAAAATTATATTTTCATGCATAAAAATAATAGTTAGTGGATTATGTAATAATAGGAAAAAATCCAATAAACACTTAGATCTTACCTCAACAGAAAAGTTGCATCATTCTACATGCATTAGAATTATTAATACAATCTTTATTTTCAGTGCATTTATATTAGTATAAGCATGTTTGTCTTAGCAGATTTTATATCTGTATAAGTGTATCTAAACAGGACATTTTACTGTTAAGATTAATGTTGTAAAAAACAGGGATTCTAATCCCTAATTAATTATACTGTTTCAAACAACTGGAATGTGTTCTCTAAAATGCAGTTTTACATATCTGAATGTTCATGAACATTAATTTTTAATATTATATTTTATAGCAGTTGTTAGAGGGCATAGTATGTGCAATTTTATTCCTACTTATACATGAGAAAGAGCCATAGCTCTTATTTCACATTCAGCAAAAAAATGGTCTCATTCTTCAGGCCCTGGCTATTGCTGAGCACAGATCTGAAATAGCCCTGTGAAAACACAAGAGATAAATTAATTGTGTGCTTACTGGTGATAGAAAGTGTTTATTTAGGCCTAACTTTTTACAGGAGCCCAGAATCTACTGTCCTATTTCTCTACCTCCTTGCCAAAGCACTCTGCAATGGGTTTTTTTTGTGGATTGGTACTTAAAAAATTCTGACTTCTGTATGCCTCAAAGCAAATGTCCCAAACTGCTGCCTTTGGAAACTCAGGTCTTAGACATGCATAAAATATTGTCTGTCTTGCTGCCTTTGTTCATGGTGGGGTTTGCATGACAGTGAAGGCAAGTGATTTTCTGAGAATATAGAATTAGTTTTTATGTAAGACTGAACGAAGCAGTGTGTGAAAGGTGTGTGAGGAGAGGAAGTGGTCTCCTCCAAAGAACTCAGTGCTCCCCTTGCTGAGCAGTGTATGCAAAGTGGGTTATGACCATACAATATGTTAAAAACAATGCAACAAGATCACAGCATGGCAATTTCTGCTCTTGGCTTGGAGGGTGTCTCACTATTTATACTGGCAGTTCACCTGCTGTGACCTGGCAAACTGTCTGGACTTCCAGAAGTGTTACCTGATGGTTACGGCCATCAGAGCTAAATGCTTACTGATTGCACACTAAAACTGCACAAGGCCGCTCTCTGCCTCTGAACTTAAAGGCTCTGTCTTGAATCCTCACATGTTTTCTTACCAGTCCCATCTGTTTTGTCTTTGTTCCTGTGTGTTCCCTTTGCCACGACAACACTGGGACACACCTTGGCAGGACTTCATTACTCTGTGCCCTCCTGTCATTATGGAAACCAACCATCTACCTACGGGGTGATGGCAGGTAAGAGAGCAACCCTCAGCTGGGTGAGCTATTTGCATGTTGATTTTAAGCAGTTTTCCTTTAGAGGGACCAATCCAAGACGATTGTTTAAAGGAGATGGGATTTGGATTAAGATGCTAGGAAAAGGGTTGGGAAATCAGGGGTCAGTGCCCAGAGTTTCCCCAAAACCTCTGCATCTCTCATGAAATCACTCTATATCTTATTTTTCTCTACATGACTGGGAGAGTGCTGCTCTTTTTGCTAACCTGTGTCCATTTTCCCTGGTGATAATCACTTTTTGAGGGACCAGGAGTGACATACCCAATATACCTGTATATTACCAGTACCTGGGCTGACAAAGCCCTGACCAAAGATATAAAATAAAATGGGGCATAAGGCAAAGATATCTGAATTCTGCAGGCAGATCAGACAGATGGTCATGGATTTTTACACTCATGAATGTATGCTAGCATCCTGCTCATTTTTGCATGTGCCAGGCTCAGTAAGAAAGAGGAACTGTTATTCTATGAGAATAACTATTCTATTCAAGCAGCAGCCAATGAGATGATGACATGAACCAAATTAACACAAATCCCAGGAGATCATTGTGATTTGGAAATAAACCAAAATCAAACTCAGAATTTTATTTCACTTAAGAATGAAGGAAATATTCAAGTTAGTCAGCTTGGATAAATATATCTGCATAGGAACAGAGTGTAGATTTCCTTCACGGTGTGCAAATGTCCAAATGCTGCTATTACATTGTGCTTTTATGTGCCTGTTGTAAACATTCCTTGCTTTGTTCAGATCCCTGGGCAAAGGTAATAGATATTTAACAAAATACATTGCTCACAAGTTCATTTTCTTTCGTTCCAAAATAAACCCACCTTTTTCTTCTCCTTTCTTCTTTTTACCCTTACTTTTTTTGGTTTTTTAGGCATCAAACCTTCAACTCCAGAGATGCTGTCGGCAAGTCTCTCCCAGACTCGCATCTTACAGACGTGCAGCATGCCCCATCCCAATGTGGTAAACAGTGTCAGCACCTTGCAAAGCAAGTCCTCCTCTTTTTAAGTTGGTTTTTTAGTTTTTTGGGGTTTTTTGAGAAAATATTTTTCTTTTTTTTTTTTGTGGTTATCCTCTGTGAGGTGTGTAAAGTAATTCCTATGGGGTTAGAACCTCCAACACTGGTGAGAGCATTCAGGGTGGTGAAGACAACCCTAACCCCAATAAATGAAGGAAGCAGTGGAGGTTGATGAAGTTCTGAGTTCTTCTAAAAAGTTTTGTATAATTTAGACAATTGGGAAGGGTGTCCTGAGAACCTGGAATTTACTGGCTGCTCCAGATACACTGAGGAGTGTTAATATTTCCCCAGTGATTCTCCCCATCCTTCCTTTAGGTCATAGACTCTTCAGTTCTATGTACAATACCTAGAGAAAAAACAGCCTTCACTCTTAACTGAATCTCCTTGTTGTCTGATATTTGTGAACAAAAGATAATGTAAGATAGTTCTGGTTTGTCCTTGAGTAATTTCTTTTTAAGCCAGAAGGATCATTTTGAATGTGTTCTGGGTTTTGGTTGTTAGGGGTTTTTTGCCTTTAGGTCTTACCTTTGTGCTTTCCCCCAAGAAATTTTATGCTGAAGCCAAGCCAAGGTAGCGTCCCATCCAAGCATCACATGGCATTGACACGGAAATATTTTTTGTACCAGAAATTAGAGAATGGCAAATTTTAGGTGACTCAAAATGACATAGACCTGTCAGTCTAGATGTGCCCCTTAATTCCAGTTTAGACCTTGGATTTTATTTGTTTAGGTTTAGACCATCTGCCATCTTATTTAAGTGCTTCTGTTTACTCAGTAATAGGATGGTCATGGCTGTTGATTGGTTTTCATGAGTTCGGACAAAAAAGATACAGCACCTCCTAAGAGATCCTCACTCTTGGATACTTTCATATGTTATGTAATGAATATTACAGGATTATGAGATGGTGAAGGGAGGTTTTTACTGTGTAGTGGTAGAGAATAACCGTACTGAGTTTTTTCTTTGGTGCTGCTCAGGTAGCCTGACCCCTTGCCTTTATAAATTCCCGGAGCACGCCCTGAGTGCCAGCTCCTGTGCCCTGGGCCACGGCTTCACTCCCATGCACCAGTCCCTCCTCACAGATGATCCCACTGCCACGGACTTCAAGCAGGAGTTCCGCAGGAAGAGCAAGTCTGTTGAAGACCCCGTCGACATGGACTCCCCCGAGATCAGGGAGCTGGAGAAATTTGCCAACGAATTTAAGCTGAGGAGAATTAAGCTGGGTATGTGCTTTTTTTGTCCATGAACAAAAGGCTGAAAAATTCCAGTGAAAGCCCAATTATTTCTGAGTGTTTTATAATCTGGCCTCTTCAGTTGCCTGATCATAACTTTAATCTTGCCTTGTACTGCCAGACTTCCTCCGTTCCTAGAAGACTTGATTGGAATTAATGAACTTCTGCTTTTTGCAGCTTAGTATGCAGGAAGGGACTTTAAACTTGCCTGCCCTTAAATTATTTGTCTTAAGCACAGAGAAAATTATTGCTGTTCAATAAATTACATTCAGTAGCAGATGAAATATTCTGCCCGGCTCCAAATCATCTGCAACTTAGGGCAGCACATGCTCTAACCTCTTATACCCATCCTCTTCCCCACAAAGAATTTCATCTGAGGTTGTAGTGTCATTTCAGTGACAGCCATGGGAAATCTTTCACACGAGTAGGAAGCTTCTCTTCCTGATTTATTTTCTTGTGCCACGACACGGGTACAGCAGCAACTGATGTATTTGTTGCTGTCTGATTCATGCAAGATGGATCACATTTGAGAGTCTCCAGTGAGCTGCTTGTCTTTCACTGGCCAATCTTGGCTGAGGATAAAGGTGGACTGAGCCCTGTCTTTCTCACCTGTAGGAGATAGGGGTACATTGCAATGTAAAAGCCTCACCCTTGCTTGAATCGTACTGAAAGAAAACAATAACACCCAGCAGTGCAGATGCAGCCCACTTGTGAATACTGAGTACTCTGAAGAGTTGCAATTTTGTCATTATCACTTATTACATTGGAATCATAGGAAATCCTTCTAGTTTCACAAATCTAAAAAAAATTACAAGGTGTTTAGGGGTATCTATGCACTATCTCAACAGTTAGAAAGCAGGTGTGTTTCCTTTTCAGTCTAAACTGAAATAAAAGAAATCAGGGTTTACAAATATTTGGAACCTGGTTGATTTTCCTGTATGTCATGTATTTGTTGTCAGGCACAGCAATGGAAAGTGTTTGCTAGGCCCCACATTGTTAGTCACTGTGTCTTCATCCTGAATTTTTGAGGGAACAAAACTTCCTTTGCTGGAAGCAAATGGCATGGAGCCTGGGCTTAGTGCTCTGATGGGAGAAATGCAATGTGCACAGGAAAACTAATCTGAGGCTGAGCTTTACAAGGGAAGACAAAGTTAATATGGGTTGTGTGCCTGAGACTGAGAGAGTTGGAGTTAGTGCAACCAAAATAGAGGTAAAAAGTTGCCTCATGAGACATTCAGTGTCCAAAGAGATCCTTCCTGTTCTGGTGCAGAGGCAGAAAAGGAGGATAATGATCCAGCCTCCTGAACATGGCAGATATATGCTCAGAGCACTGAACAGGTTGCTGCTGAGACAAAGTCAGTGTCTGCATGGAAACTGCAGCATTTCTCTGACCACTTCGACTTAGTTGTTGCAACAAGTAATAGGAGAGCCACTGGGGATTACTTTATTACCATTGCATCATCTGCAGAAAGAAAGATACTGGATGTCGGGATCCTTCTCAAATTCCTAATCTTAGAGGGTAAAGTTCCACTGAAACCAACAGGAGACTGAACACGTTTCTGAGGAGAGCTCAGCCAGCCACAGAGACCTCTGCAGGGAGCTCATCCTGAAGGCACTGCAGGCACACACTGTCCACAGGAGTCAAAAATGAAAGTCTAAGCACTCAAAAAAGCTTCAAAGTTACTTTCTTTCTCTTTGTTTTTTGACAGGTTACACACAAACCAACGTTGGAGAAGCACTGGCTGCTGTGCACGGCTCTGAGTTCAGCCAAACGACCATTTGCCGGTTTGAAAACTTGCAGCTGAGTTTCAAGAACGCCTGCAAACTGAAATCCATACTGTCCAAGTGGCTGGAGGAAGCAGAACAAGTAGGAGGTAGAGAACTGAAATCATCTAAATACTGATTAGCATTTGAACCAGAATGCCATATATATGCCCAAGGACTAGTATGTGTAATCCATAGACTAAAGCTTTTTTTTTAATCAGATTTAGATGCTAAGGTGTGCTTGTATTAAATTTTAGTTATCTTTTTTCAGGTGAGCAAGGAGGGGCAAACTGAAATATATGGAGGGTACAGAATAGCAGAAACATCACTTGGACTGCTGGGAGAAACTTCTTTCAGTCCCATCCCAGCAAGCTAGCTCCAGTCCTGTAGCATATTATTAGGACCTGCAGGACAGCCCCTTTAGCAGCAGGGATTTTTCACTAACAGAGGAGTCTTCCTTCCAATCTCTGGCATATAAGATATGGCCATGGGGGAAAAGATTGGAGTTCAGCTGTGGCAGTGAGCTTTAAACCCTGAAGAAGAATAGCATGGTATAGAGTTTTTTGTTGTAACCTAAAATGCTCTTCCTTTTTCCCAGTTAATTTCCAGTTGCAGGAAGAGTGATAGGGCTCGCTGGGCAAAGAGTACTTTAGGACAGGCTGGCTGACTTAAAGGAAGTGGTTGCCTTTGAAAACAGCCTTTTGAGCTGGATGAATTGCAATGCTGGGAAGCAACAAGCCTGGAGGTGGCAGCGAAAGCACGACCACCAGGCAGCACTTGCTGGGCACGGGAACAAAGGGGACATGACCTTAATGCTACTTTTTGGATTTGGCATTGTATTCAGCAGTAGGAAACGTTGTTATTCTGCCACACACTTCAGTTTCCTTTGAACCAAGTGTAGAAAGCTTCCTTCCCCTGTAACTGTGCTGCAAACCAGGGGCTCTGCTATTGCGGCTGCCACATGGCAAGAATCGCTTGTGAGGGGCTGTGGTGGGTGGCAGATCATGTTTGCAAAGGGTGGCAGATCATGTTTGCAGACAGTGGCCTCTGAGAAGAGAGCAGAGACTTGTTCATCAGAAGGTGGGGTGGACAAGGCAGATGAATAAATGGGGTTGGGGGCCAAAGCTGTGTTTCTGAAGAAGAAGGATGAGATAGTAAGGAAACGGACTCCATCTCCCCAGACCGTGCCCCAAAGGGCAGGAGGAGCAAGGTGTGTCAGAGGAAGGGACAGAAGCACAGCTCCTCTGCATCTTTACTGCTGCCACACCACTTTTGCTTATAACCATTTATAGCTTTAGGTAAAACCATGACTGAACATCCTACATAACAAAAAGATCCTATGTGTGATGCTCCTCTCTGTTATGCTTTCTTCTCTCTTCAAAGATTGACTATTTCTCTGGAGATGATTCTGCTTGTTTTCCATTCCCTGAAGAATGGAAAAACTGCCAGGTTTTGTCTTCTTTTTTTTTTTTTTTAATACAGCTTTATATAACGAAAAAGTTGGAGTGAATGAGCGGAAGAGGAAGCGCAGAACCACCATAAGGTAATAAATATTTAGGGCTTTACAGGTTAGAAACCACTTTGGCTAAGATGCTTTATCTTCTGTTCAAAATTGAAGTGCTATTTTCTGTTAATGAATATCTGCATCTAGTGCTTCTGAAAGTTTCAGTATTTGGAAACATGCCCGTGGAAAATAACAGCATAACCCCCAAGACCACAAGTTATTCCAAAGCTATTATTTTTCCCAATCAAAGGCTTTTTTTTCAACAACACACTTAAGTATGAAAAGATATTTTATTCCAGATCTGTCAAAATTTCATTGTATCTATATAGCAAGGTATCAGAGCACCCTTATTTTTATTTTGAGAGATTCTACATTATATCAAAATAAATTGCATTATTTTGGTATAATAAATAAACATATAAATTTTGGAACAATAAAAAAAACACATATGAATTTACCAGAAACTTGAGGTCTGCTGTTTTTTAAAAGCTATTGATAAAATCAGTCCTCATATTGAGCATTTTTAAAATCATTTTTAAATTATTCTTGCTTTTACATGTAAGCCTGGTGCAGTGGGAGTATCAAATATGGCAGGTTGTCAAGGACACAGATAATTGAGAAGTTCAGGACCAAATCCCATATAGTAAGAAAATATTAATTACTCCTTTAAAGGCACATAGGACCTCAATTTAAAGACATGAAACTAATCAGGGAGATGGGCTTTATACGAATGCTGGAGCCTTACTCTTAGCCATTCTTAATGGATGTTTGAAGGCTAACTAATGCTAAAACAAAAACCCCAATAACTAAATTAGAATTGTCATACCCAGAGCAAAAATTTGAATTTGTGGAAATTATTTTATTATATACTTTGCCCAAAGCCTTAGAAGCTGTTAGTAAAAAATAACGATGTTTCTATAATTCTGTGTGTGCAGAAGACCATGCTATTAATTAGGTAGTTTTTGTAACGCTAGTAAATATTGCAAGATTGACCTGTAAATGAGAGACCAACAGCATAACACAGATGAAGTAATGAAATAAGTAGGACTCCAGAAGACACCGCGTGTATTTTTGTGGCAGAAATACCTTCGCCTCGCTTTCAGAATAATGCATGAAGTGCCCTCTTGTGTCCAAAGAAATTACAGCTACTGCTGAAGCTGTTCTGGATGCATCCCGGTGGCACAGAAGTGTGTCACAGACGCTCCGTGTTTTCTGAGACTATATAACAAAAATCGGAAGCAAATTCTATCTGAAAATAAGAAAAAATAATAGTATTAAATTATTTTGTTTAGTGAACCGCTCAACTTTTGTGGCTGCTGGCTCTGAAGAACAGGTAAAGGCAGACTTTTGGAAAGTGTGGTGATTGCTAAAACAGCTTGCCATAACCTCTGCGATTTCTAGAAACACCCTAGAGGTCTCTCTATAACACAGTGAGATGCAGAATTTGATACAGCACACAACTTTTCCCAAATCTTCCCATTTGTAAACCCAAATGATTTGATACAACCAGGTAATGCCACTGATGAGCATTTGCTGAACCCCTACGGCCCTGCTGTGACTGGAGCAGACTGTTCCAATTCCTGGCTAGTTAATAGCTGTATCTCCTAAACAGCATCAAGAAGCACAAATAATTCATAGTTAACACTGAAATTGCACCGAACTTCATGCTAGTTTTGCCTTTTAATTACTGCGTGCTGAAATTCTGCATGGTGTCATGCTGTTCATGTCAGCGAAGAACTATAGAAACTGTGGGTTTCCTTTATGTAAAAAAGAGGAAACAAACCAAGTCATTGCCTTCAGTGCTGTCCCTTGACCCTTCCCCTGAACCAGCAGTGAAATTTGAATGCACAGAAAAGTTTCTAAAGATGAAATTTTACCCCTTTCTCCAGCATTGCTGCCAAAGAAGCCCTAGAGAGGCACTTTGGAGAACAAAGCAAACCTTCCTCTCAAGAAATTCTGAGGATGGCCGAGGGGCTCAACCTTGAGAAAGAAGTCGTAAGAGTTTGGTTTTGCAACAGAAGGCAAAGGGAAAAAAGAGTGAAGACGAGTTTACACCAGAACACCTTCAGTTCTATTATCAAGGAGCACCATGAATGCCGGTAAAGCTTTTCCATGTATAGATGTGGATTTCTGTTTTGCTTTTTGTAAATATTGTAAATGCTACATTGTTAAAAAAAAAAAGGAAAAAAAAGAGAAATCAATAAACTACTTGTTTCTCTTACAAGCTAGGCAGCTTCAGGTGTAGTGTGCTGTGGAGGGCCTAATTTTAAATCCGACAATGCATATTTAAAGCCATAATTGCTGTCATTACTTACGGTAGGGTAAGTTTACTAGTACAGAGGTGTCAACACTGTTCCTACTGTGTGCTCTGTCTCAGCATAACATCTGACTGCCTTAAAAGGGTAGCAAGCAGAACTGTCTTTTTTAATATTTGTTATCGAAGATAATTCCTGCTAATTTGTTATGTGCCTTGAAGTTTGGTTTGGATAAGCTTAGCTATAAAAATGGGAATACAATTTACCTTTTCCTTAAGACTTTGTGACCTGAGGGGGGAAAAATAACTGTCAAGGGGCTTATTACGTTGGGCTTTCTCTGCATTGTACTTTTTTTCTGATTAAAACCATGTGTGGACATACTTACACCAGAGATAGTGTTTTAAGCTGAAAAGAACACTGAAATAAGTATCCAAACAAAGCATTTATTGCACTGCACATTCCCACACTCTTAAAGCCCAGTAATTAAAAATAATCCCATATTTGTCATCCTCCAGCCTAGAGAGATAATCTAGGGAAAAAAATACCAGTGCCAGAGCTCCACCTATCAGACAGGCACTGAGAAAACTCAATTAATGACTCTAGTACTCACCAGGGAAAGATTATCCAGCCATCTCATCAGCCCTGCTCATTGTTATTGGAATTAGCCTGTTACCATATATGTACTTTTGACTGTTTTCCCAGGACTGAAATTGAGTACATGCGAGTAGTACTGGCCACATACATTTTATTTTTCCATAAAACAGACCTGATGATTTAGAAAATGTCTAAATAATAGGCCCACAGAAAGCAAAAGGAGTTTAATGTTCGAGACCTCTTAGAAGCAGCGCGTACAAGTGCTCCCTCTCTAGTGTACACTAAATTACCTCTGATACAGTGACCACAGGCATATTCAGCTATGGAAATCAGGCTCCTGGATTTTTTAAAAAAATATCTTTTTATGGATGAATGCACCACTTAATTTAGAGGAGAACTTCAATTTAATAACTCAGAGGGGAGAAATTGCATTATGTACTGTCTTCAGGCTGTTCTCATCACTGGCATAGCTCACCCACTACAGCAGAGAAAGGCCAAGCTGGAGACTTGATCCACCACGTGTATCACCAGAATATGGACTTCCCAAGAGGCTGAAGGATAAATACAGTTGAGAAGATCAGCCCTCAGCAAAGGTGGTGGCGTGCATTTGTGTACCTTTCGTGTTATGTGATCTAATGTTATGTATGTTGAAAACACTATCTGATATATCTAAACTTTATTTATGTTCTAAATTATTTTAACTATAAAAGGCTTCTTAGAAATGCTATAAGCCTGTATTTCCCAAGCTCCCCATCCAATAAAATATTCTTATACAGTTGGCACTCTTAATTAATGGTTTGTAGTCCTGTTTTGGTGACACTTTACCCTTTTTAGCTGCGTGTCATGCTGAGGTGCTTATGCATTTTAGCCTGCTGTAAGAGCCAGTTCAAAAGCAGCCTTACCACAACACAGTGGTCTCTTGTCCCACAGAAAGTCTCACAAGTGAAGGCTGACTGCAGAAACAGAGAAAAAGAAAATGAAAGGTGACATATAAGACCATTTCCTTGCAAAAGAATGACAAAAGGCCAAGTGGGGGAAGCAGCCACCAGTTAAACACATCTAGCTGTTGCCAGGGAAATATAAAGAAGTTAGAGCAGAATTGTTTAAAGAAGAAAGTCTGAAAGAAAGGCTCCAGCTGCAGCCATTACTTACAGAAAGTGGCGATGCATTTTTTTTTATGTAGGAACAACTCAATTGCCATCAATCACTCTTGATTGGGTGCAAAAACCCACCCTAGATGAGATTCCTGAGAGGTAGCTTTACAAACCTGCAAGAGTTTAGTTGGCCATCCGACTAAGATGGGCTGTACTATTTTTCTTTGAGAT